ATATATATATATATATAGAATGGAGATGTTCCCACATACAATTTTATAAAATTTTTACTTTGAAGAGTAGTATATGAGGGACAAACATTCTACTAAATAAGTGAGCCTTTTCCAATCATCGTACAGCAATACGATAAAGTTAATGAAATAACATACATTGCTAAAACTTGAAACAACCTCACAATTCGGGGGAAAAAGAGATGTCTCTATTTTTTGAATATTCATTACAAAAATACCTGATAAAAACACGGCTGAAGTGGGATAAAAGATGGGAGTGGTGGCCAATTATGAGGCCGTGTGTTTCCTGTGGAAGCACCAGTTCGCTGATGTTGTTCTAATTCTTGCTCTCTCCTACGCAGCTCCTGCGCTTTTCGTTCCAGTTCCTCTTGACGTCGAAACAACTCATCACTGCTCATCACTGGTGCCGAGACTGTAGCTGGAATCGCTCCAGCTCCAGTCTGAAACTCGAAACATTATTTAGAAGGAAATTAGGAGCTAGAAGTTTGAAAAATAAACAATCAATAATTGAAATTCATTTAATCGTAATCTTATTTTCAAATTAACTGTCCATCATTCGCCGCAATTTCTTTCTCTTGCAACTTCCGTATGTTATTACGAGGCTGAGTTGCATTTTTCATACCCAGAGAACACGTATTATATCATCAAAAGCTAAACTGTAATTTTTCCCATAGGACACGTATTTTACCATCAAATAGTAAACAATATGGTTATACAGAGTATTATTACTCTTTGCATACTGATGAGTAATACTTGGAATGATTGCCTTAAATGCAATTTTTTATTACTTGAGTCTCTAAATTAAACCTTAATTAATTGATGATCGAACCCAAGCGAGGATTTTCTTAATTAGAAAATAATTTTCAAAACTCTTTGCTTATATTATCGAATTTCTACAAATAAATAATAAAACTGGAGACTAAACGAAAAGAGAAAGGAATTGTTAGGAACAAAATAAGTACTGCATGTCTGAAATCGATGCATTGTTATATATTACCCTTATCACTCTAATTGTTACTCCACTTTTGTGATCTTGTTTTGCATAAAATAAACGAACATTTATCAATATTGGTAGATTTGCTACACATAACACCTCAAAGATCTATATCCAAAGTAGAAATTTGACCGATGATCACATTGTAAAAAAACCTTCAAGAGTATGTACGGAATTAAATGTTTAGGCATGACCTGTGTAATGTTCACATTCTTTCACGTGACTGTGATATCTGTGACAAATTTTCCTGATGTTGGAGCAATTACGATATTATTCTTATTGTAAGCAATAATCTTTTTTCACAAATTCCATAAAGTGCTCTTGCATGTCTTTTCAACAATTTTAAACGGCTACTATTGGTAACATTATATCAATATATTTTTAAGTGAAAAGATAACTTGCTAAGCAATGCTAAGAAAATTTCATGGATAAAAAAAGGAAAATGAGACTAAGAGAAATGGACACAAAATAGGACTAGCATAAAAACTATCGATTAATCAATAACTTATGCGCTAGGAAAAGACCTGAATTAAATATAATTCGAGCATATTTTATTCAAATCGTACCAGTGGCTCAGGAAGTCAAATTAACCAGAGATTATGAAAATGTTTTTACAATTAGCTAAAGAAACAGAAACAAAAAATATGACTGACTGAAAATCTTCTTCAAAGTGCCACTCGAAGCACTTATGGTTATTAAACGAATAAAATGCAAAACAAAAAAAATAATAGAAAAATCAATATTAAAAAAAAAAACGATAGTTACATGAGCTATACACCGCGATAAACAGTTTTAAGCTTGTAATTACTAGCAGTTCTCTTTCAATCTTAAGAGATTTAGTAGAAGACATCTCCTGGGAAAAATTATGAAACAAAAATATGAACTAATAACACCTGTGATTCACTAATCTAGTCACCATCCACATTTTGTCATATCAAATTTTTTAAGTGGTGCAAGACCACTTTAACAATACTATCTGCACAAATGATAAAAATATCTTGCATAACCTGTTTAATTCCACAGCAACATTTTGTTAAGCCTTCTTATTTTCATTCAAGTGTTTTAATCTATGAATATCAAACTATAACTAGACCAAGACTTTTTTTGAATTAAGCAACATTTATTATGCAAATAATAACATGGTAATTTGAAGTTGAAAATCTAGTGAACATATTTTGTATGAAAGCGTTGACAAACAAATAAATACATTTGGTTTACCTGCGTGGGAAGCCTCGAAGGAGCAGACTGAGCATTTCGAGCAAATGGATTGAAATCTTCGTCGAAATCTGTTGTCTCCTGGCCAACTGCTTGTTGCACACTCGGGTCCTAAACAGATGCTTTTTGATAACCATCACTTTGAAACTGTTTGAATGTGTTGATTTAGTACTAGATGAAAACTTTTAAAATGCTACAAGCCCAAACAAAACCAGTAGTAGCTACCATATGAATTCAATAAACGCGGTACATTGAAATGTTATATAAAACGCATCGCTTCGATTTCTATTTACGCTTTTCTCGTAAAAAAAGAAACTATAAATTGCGACCATCTCCGAAGTTTCTACTGGGAAAGTGTCTGAAATCATTAGAAAATCTGCTAATTAAATTTTCGACATTCCTCTAAATTTGAAGCTTTGTCAACATACCGCAAATGGATCCGCGAACGGATTCGAATTCAAACCTGCCATTAGTAAGTAATCGTTCCTACTCAATCGACCCTGAACTAAGCACTACAACACAGACCAATTATTCTGCAAAAAAGATACAAACATACTTTGTTGATTTTGAATAATTAATTATCCATCACACAAAAAAGAACTGCATATATGTATTGATGGTTATTAGATGTTACTGTGAATCAGTCGAATAGACATCCAATAACTGAAGCAATCGCTCATTCACGTTACAAAATCCCCTGTTCAACGGTTTCTTTTTAGTAAAGCAATGAATTGTATAGAATCATTGTACAGAATCATGCTAACGCTAACAAATCAAGGCTAAAACCACCATCTAACAAATCAAAGCCACTCCATCTGACTTCACCTCATTCCTTCTCCATGCCAACAACAAGGACGCACGTCTACAAGACGTTTTCGTCGCGACATGAAAATGTTTGTGTCATTACGACATAGCTATATGTTACATGCTACTTCAATGTGGGAGGGAAGATACTGTCGCAGTTAATTTCATTATACATAATTCTGGTGCATTATTTTAGAATTAATAAAGAATTGTAAATTCCAATGATTCTTTTAATTAAGAGGAAAACATACTTCAAAACATTGCTCGGAAATATCCCGAATGAAATTAACATTTGCATTTTCTGACTGGCACATCTTGGATACACTTTTTTCTTGTTTGAAATTTATTCATCCAATCAGTTTCTTATTAGAATTTATATTCCTGTTATCCTGTGCTTTTCTACTATTAATTGATTTGCTACCCATTGATAAATTCAGTATTGGATGGTACGAGCTATCCCGATGATTTTCACTCCCACATTCATATGCTAAGTGTTGTCTGTTATCTAGAATGATTTTCTTAGTGTTCAGTATGATTGGCAAAGATATTTGCCGCGAAGGTTCTAGTTTCAGTAGTTATACGTTCTCATCGCTAAAATCTCAGCAATTGTGAGATGAGAAATTTGCTATTTCATTTCTCTCTTTTCATATTAATGATGATAATAATATTGTATCATATCATTTTCACTGGAATAGTTTATAATTGAAATAATTCAACTTTGCTTTGTAATTTTGCTTTGGTCCAGAAGTAATTTTACAATGTCTAAAATGATATAAGGTGTGATAAAATTAATCATTTTGATTAATTTTGATATGATGTCGTCTGCGATTGCATCTTGCTACAATGAAGAATTGAAGGAATTGAAAACAACAAGAACAACGTCATATTTTATTTTCTGAGAAATAAAAATGATATTCGATGTATCATGGAAACGTGAGCAAACAAGATACGTACGGTTGGAACAAGGAGATTATAGAAATTTTAATCTTAAGTTTAGATAGTGCTAGATACTCTATCATTTTTCATTTAAAAGAAAAGAGATGGATAATGTGTTATTCTAATTCTAATGAACTTTGGAGGGCGCTAATAAGCGCAACTGAATGCATTCTACAGAACAGCATGATATAGTACATGGTTTATTATACGAAATATTAATCTTACATCATATAGCTGTCAAAAAACTGAAGCCCAAAACTTTGACACTTCCAAATTTCATTCCATCATGTCCGAACTTGGTACAAGAATCAAATATCAGTAGGAGTAATCTAGTGCTTCCTCCATACCTCTCTTTCCAAATTGTAGCGGTCGAAAGCTTTTTTTACCAAACTGTAGTGGTCGATGGCCATCTCGCTTACCGAACTGCAAAATTTATATGTATAGTGATTATATCCTTGTATTGCCAATTCTTGCTTAAATTCAAAAAATTCATTTCTCCTCTTCAGGCAGCAGCCATATCTTGTTAACTTTAATTATACCGAAGAAATAATGCTTATCCTTACTTTTACCTCTTTAAGAAACTAAAATGAAACTGTTTTAAAAGCAATTACATTGTTTTAATGTTAAATTAAATTTAGTATTACTCTAAACGGAAAAAGTGATTTCACAGGATACTGAACTGGTCCAATGAAGGAACTTAGTACTAATAAATTCCATTCCCACAGAAGATGAGATAACATTAGACTCAACACTATTATTCTTTATACTCGTTGCCATCAACTTCTGGAATAATTAATACGGAGTGTCTATCATTTAAATTTACCAATAAAATTCATAATGATACAGTTAAGTTCACTCTCCTGAATAATAAATCAGTTTTTGTGCCAAAATTTTATCAGTGAAAAGATATTTATAACAAACTATCATCCGATTATTTATTTTATCCAAACTATCAAAATAGGACAATTATCCTCAATGAAAAGAAATAACACACGATATCTTTACAATTCTAAATGTGATGATATATGCAATTTTGTTAAGCACTGTGAAGCAATTAACGGATTGAAATTATTGCCAGCTAACAATCAAAAATGATGTATGCTAAGTGGGATAATTTATTAAATTGAGTAAAAATAACAAGCTTAATTAGACGAGTTAAGGAAAATACAGTGTAAATAATAACGTTTTGAAGGCAGTTACAGAAGTGTTACAAATTGTTTGTAAATTATATGCTGTCTTGTTTTGTTCATGTGCATCTGCGAAAGTAAAAGGAAACTTCTTGTCTTTTCATTTTAGATTGGAAAGCTTTCTGATCTCATTTTCCTAAATGAGAATTACTGGAGTTTTCGCTTTGAGATTTTATCTTTTTAATTCAAAGCTTTGCAATTGCTCAGTTTATATCAAAAAGTTTTAAAGTAAAAAAATTTTAAAACAAGGTAAATTAAGAAATAATTAATTGCTTGATTACGTTCACTACTCAAAAATAAAACTGTGTAGGATCAAGGAGTATTATAATGAGCACAAAGGATGAAACAAAGAATTGGTACTATTAATTGAATGGATGAAATCTAAATGACTATTTTACAAGTTCTAAGCCTTTAACTAGGCTAAAAAATTTTCTCGACGACTTTCTGGTAATGTTTTGAGATTTTCTATATCAGATTCATATTTTTGTTTGAGAAAAAGTTTTATATTTGTTTTAGTTTTCAAACAGTCCCATTTAATAATATATGTATCGATGTTATCTTTGATAATTTCATGTAAGGTAATGATAGTAAATGCGCTAAAACAAAAAAATATTACAAAAATATTACAATAATAATATTATAATATCACTAAAACTTCCTTCTCATTCAAGAAATCATTATTACCTGAATTAAATTTCTCTTTGTCCATATTTTTTTGCTACTATCTTTGTTTTTTTCATTTTGAATTTCTATTTCAATTAATTTTATATTATTTGCAACTCACATTTTCTCACTTCTTTTATAATTAGTGAAAAGAATGTGAAATTTCTCAGTGCATTCAAAATGAAGGGTTAATCCGAAAATTTCCGATCTAATCTGAAAAATCGCTCTTGGGCATAAATTGCATGGTGTTACACAAAATGTGCCATGCACAACTTTATTTGTAAGCAAATGGAAAATCTAGAAATCTGTCTGATGGTTCTTTGAGAATTCATTTATGGGCAACTGTAAAGTTTTTTGGAAGATGACCATTAGAGAGAGAGGGAGAGAGAGAGAGAGAGAAAAATAACCTGCAATGGTCGATAGTCTCTATCTTGCCTGTCGAATCGATCAGACTGTAAATTGCAATTCACAGCGATACTGATGAAACCAAAAATGAAAAGTATTGAAGTGATCGAGCAATGAAGCATTTCCTTTCCCAAGACGAGATCTTTTGACCACCAAATATAGACGCCAAATGTGCTGCAACAACGCAAAATGGCTTCAATTACTTTTTTGTAATTATATCACCCAAACGGATGGTACACTGCGCGAATACACCAAAGTTAACTCAATGGTAATCAGATCTAAAAGCCCTATTATAGTAGTGATGTGGAATTTGACTGGCAGATAAATTTATTTTACGAGTCCCATAAGGAACAAATCTCATTATCAACCAGTGGAATGTCATTTCATTAGTTTTGAAGGCCTATCTTATCACACCTACAAAGTAGTGTAACATGCAAGAGAGACTAAATATTTAACAATTAAAGCATCCACACATTTGTAATCGCAAAATCATTTCCCTCATTTATTTTAATTTATCGGCGAGTAAGCAAACAAAACACATCTTTGGCATTTTCAATTAATTGGGACGCAAAACCATTTGGGATAATTTTATGTATATGAGCACCTCATTTTAATTTACATTAGAGAGTTGAAAAGTTGCAAAATGAACAAAAAGTTATAGTTAAAATTGCAAATTAATGAAGAAACAAGTATTTCAGAATTGTGGTTGATGAAGTGGTTTGTTATTAGGATTCTTGATTTAGACAGCAATTGACTGACTACATTTAGATTTTTAAATTAGAGTGAAAAAATATTGAGTTTTTTAATTTGAATGTTTATGATGCACTGCCGCTGAAACCAGTACAAATTTGTGAATATCAGTTAAGCTTCATTTTAAAATTATGATGAATTGTAGATCTTGTATTTTTAAAATGTTAACTTTAGAAGAAGAGTGAATGGTTGAGAAATAGATGAGAGTGAACGATGTATGGAAGAGATGAGAATTTAACAATCTTCTGATGTTATCAGTTGAGTAATGTCTTTCCTTTTCTATCATACTATTATACCTCCATCTTCTTCTTCCAAAAATTTTGAAGAATAATTAATTTTGTTTTGCTGAAATCAACCCTTATCACGAAATTCATTTCCTCTCTTCCAGACTAGCATCTATCGTAAATATTATTATATAAAGAGATGATAGATTAATCATCTGGAAAATAGACAGGAAATTATCACAAATAAATCTATTCTATCATTAACTGAAATTGTTGTATACCATCGAAGTATTTTTTTTACTTGTCCGCATTTTTTAAACTTCTGAGAGATATTTAAATTTGGTTTGTTTCTTTGTTTTTGTTAAATTGATATGAAGAGAGTTCAAAATTACTTTAAAGTATGTTAGATATTTTATTTGCATTTAATATATCATGAAATGATTTGCAATGAGATTTTTGCTTGACAATTTCTTGAAATACATAATACCTACAAAAAGGATT